ATCATGATGCATACAAAAGATTTGACATAGGTTTTAAAGTTTTAGAGATATGGTTCAAACTTTATCACTATTAATCTTTTAAAAATTTTAAAACTACAAAAGAAAAAATAAGTAGAATAATAAAAAAAATTGTGAACTCATATATATATAAAAAAATATCCATTATAAATTAAATAAAACATTTGAAAATGCATAACAAAACACATGAAAATACGACAAAAAAAAACATGAAAATACACTTGAATGAACAGATGAGAGCCAATTAAAAAGAGACCACCAGGATCGATGACGTGGCAATTTGGGAAACGAAATCTTGTCCATTCAAATTTTGGAGACCTATGCTTAGCCAATCCCGTCCGTTCACATTTTCAGTATTATTGATAAAAATCCCTAAAGGCTGTCGTTCACCGTCAAAGGATGTGAAGTGTGTAGTCGTGATTCCGATTAATTCACCTGCTCAGATTCATCTTCTCCGGCGACTCAGATTCATTTTCTCCGGCGAAATTACATGTTCTGTTGACACCGAGAAGGACAGTCACAAGATCTCCGTCAACGACACTTTCAAAGAGGTTTTCGCATCTTTCTTTCCCTCTTGGTTTGTTTTCCCTAATTCTTCGCTCTAAAGATGATTTGACTTTCAGTGATTTGCGAATTTCGACAGTCCTAGGGAAGAAATAGGTTGACTGCAGAGAGAAATAGCTTTGCTTAGCCGCTATTTCTGGCGGATGTGATGACGGAATCATATCGGTAGAGGAGTGGCGGAGATGGGGACCGGTGTCTCCATTTCCAGTTGCGGTCAAACAGATTGTGGATGATTTGAAGTTTCTTGAGTGTAAATTGGATTGTGAAATAGAGTTTGGTGGAAATGGTGGCAAGTTACAGGTAAATGTCGATGATGATAATAATGATTAAACCTGGTTGCTTGTTTCCTTATTTAAGATGGTTAGAGCTTATATTCCTGATTTCTGAGAATCTTTCTATGTATTAGAGAACTGAGAGTGTGATTGACTAGCAAGTTAAGGGCGAGTGTGATTGACTTCTAAAATTATTATTCTTGTTGAGTAATAATGCCACTGATTGAGTTGATTTGTGACTCTTTTATGTTAGTTAGGTTATAATACTTCTACTTCTATGAAACTATTGCAGGGACCGTTTGGTGCATACAGCATACTCGTAAATGTTCGTCATCATTTTTCTCTCTTATTCTTATATTCACAAGCTATTGCGCCATGTGTTCTTTTAGTTTGGATAGTTTATCTCATTCTAGAATTTGTTTTGTGCAAGACAATAATCTCTATCTACAATTCCTATGTCAATCTAGATCATAGTTAGGGGTTTTGTCCAGTGTTTCTAAAGTTAATTCCTTTATTAGCTTCAGCTTATTTGATTTCAAGGGATCAATTATAGTACTAGCCTTGTTGAGATGTCAAAATTGGATTCAATTTTCTCGATACTGACTTGAAGTCGTGAATGATGTTAATTTTTGTGGTGATAGGCTTTCTGTGGCTAAGAAGACGGCTAAAGGAGCAGACCGTACCTAGAAGAGCAGCTGCTAAGGTTCCAAGAAATGGATCCTTGTGTTTCTATGTCATAAGTCATTAGGATTAGCATGCGTGACCAAAGAAAAAGTCCTTAGGATTAGCACTCTTGTTGTGTTAGAGTAGTAGTAGTACTTGATGTTTTTATTTAAGATTTGGTTTGGATTAAAAAGTTTGTAAGACTTGTCATATTTTTTTTTATGGATTTCTATGAAATGAAAAATATATTTAACTATATATTGCTGACCAAATTTAATTTATATAAAATATATTTAAATATATAATGCAAAAAGCATGATACAGCAAACACAAATAGCCATTAAAAAATACATAATAGCAAGAGGAAATCATTACATTTTTATTTTCTATAGCAAAAGATTTTTGCTATCATAGGTGCACAATTTGAGTACGACAATGTCACAAAACAATATCCAACATCACTATTAATGTGTCATTATAAAATATTAAACAGCACAAAATTATTGCCATTAAAAAGTGCACGGAATAAGTGATAGAATAAGTTATCCTATAGCAGAC